AGAATGCCACATAGAAGGAAGAGCAGCAGTAGAAACTGACAAACTGGAAAATGGAGACTTTGAAAGTGATGGCGTCTTCATGGAGAGTCTGGGTTCTGTGCATCTCTGGGCAAAGGGCACAGCTGGCCAGAGTTCTGTTGGGTGCAAGGTAGCAGGCAAAGCCCATTGGGTCAACCCCTATGCTCCTGTCCCCAACCCATTGTTTCCTAATGCCAGCCATGTGCCCCTGGCCACCCTCACTTGAGGCTGGAGCTGCAGGCTCTGAGGAGCAGGTAGCCCTGCCTCGGGGCTCCTAGTTCCCAGATGACACCAAGACAGCCCTGAAACCTGTGGTCTTCACTCACCCCATCTGCTGAGCTGCTCAGCCAGCGAGGTGCAGACCTGGCTCAGGCTCAAGAGAAGGAGCAGCACCGGGTTGAGGTGGGCCTGGGGAGACTCCGCCCCCGGGCTGACCCCGCCCCGCTCCTCCCGCCCCCCGCGGCGCGCGCAGGCCCAGTTCCTCGGCGCAGAGCACCGCGCTTTCTGCCTGCGCGCCGGAGCCTCGGGTGGGCCAGACCCCAACACTCCCCTCACGAGCTCGGCCGCGAGGTGACTGATCCCATTCCTCGCGTGGGTCCCTTCCGCCCTTCCAAGCGCCTTGATACACGGTTCCTCGCTTGAAATTCAAACGAGGAGGGAACTAACAGTCTCATTTTACAACCGTGCAGACAGACGCTCAGTGGGCCTGTGTCATGCAGTGACTGCTCCTTCCCCTTTATTGGGCGCTTCCAATGTGCCAGGCCCTGGGCCGAGCGCTTTACACACTTCGCCCATTTAATCATCACAGCCCTCTAAGGCGCTGACATCATCGCGGTCAAACCCATCTTGCAGATGAGGTGCTGAAGTCGCCTGCGCAGGTCACAGAGCTCATCGGGGGAGTCTGCATTGGGCCTCGGGGACCCGAGCCCGCTCAGCCCGCCGCGCTCGCCTCCTCCAGGAGCGGTCGCCGCCTCTCCGCCCGCCGCGGGGGTCGCAGCTTCTCCTCCCACAGGAGCATGAAGTCTGTCCCATCGCAGGGTCCGGGGACAGCTAGGAATGGTCCGCCCCACCCCGTCCCACTTCCATCCTGGGTAGGGAGCGGGGGCTGGGTTTAACAGTCCCACTAAGGCCAAAATTAAAGGCAAATTGCGCCGTAGCAAGAGGGATTAGGGTTAGTTGGAAGGAGGAAGGGCCCATTGCAAGAAAGGGACAAGAGAGGCCACGGGATTCCTGGGGAGGGAGGACCACAGCTTGGCTCCGCCCGCCGTGCGTCTGGGTGCGATGGAACAGGTGTCCTGTCTGGCCCCAGTCTCACCGATTTTGGTTTTCCCATCGCAGAAGAAAGTTGCCCCTGGAGTCCGGGACATAAATGCTGCCGCAGGACGCGGAGATACAGTCGTCTGGGTCCCTGTCCCCAGCGACATCCTGGGGGCAACAGGCTTGGAGGTGGGGGTGAGGGGATGGGGTGCAGTTGCAGGTGCCAGAAGCTTCTCAATCGGCCCAACCGGGGCTCCCCTCCTTCCGCCCACCTGCCTGCCCACCCCTGACTAAACATAGTGTAACAGTGCAAGCGCTGTCCACGCGATCTGCGACCCTGTTCCTCCTTTCCACCTGCTCTCAGCCCTAGAACTGCCACCAGGACCCTAATAACAAGGGGAACGGTAACAGCCCGCATTTATTTGGGCCCTTAACTTGGTGTCTGCCACGTGTGAAATATTTTACTCCCATTTATTTCTCACAACTAAAAGTGGGTGCTACCGTTATCTCCACTTCACGGATGTGTCTGTGAAATGCCTGAGCGCAGGGGAATTAGAGCAGTCCAAGGTCACTCGGCTCTCCTTCACCCTCCTTGGGGACCACCCCCTAAGTGAACCTCAGTGAGCCTCCTCCCCTCTGCTTCCAGGATCCACCCCTCTTTCTAGAATAAAGCTGAACACCAACTCCCCCTACCTCCCCACTGCCCGCTCAGGTCTGGCCCCCTGGGGATTTGCCCCACACACCTCCAAACTGTCCTGGGCCCTGAGCCCCCTGCTCCCATCTGGGCACACATTCCCCTCCCCCAGTCTGGGCCTGGCACATAGGGGTCATGGCTGGTACCAGGCTGCCAGGGAGTGAGGAGATCTAGGGCATGACCAGGAAGCTCCATCCCCATCAGGGACTCACCCAAGGTCCCCATGGCCTGCCCAGCAGCCTCTGCAGGTCTGGCTGCCACTTCCCCTTCCTCATCCAGGGCCAGACCTCACCTGGGGTCCTCCCTGTTGTGCCCAAGGCCAGGCTCTGCTGGCTGCAGGCAGGAGCTTCACTACCAGCTCTGTGGCCTGGGAAGGGTGAGAGGAGGAGAAAAAGGGCAGGGGAGGGAGGAGGCAGGGAAGAGGGATAGAGGTGCCAGCTCCATATTTCCCATCCTACAGGTAGCCCCAGGCTTCCAGTGGGAAAAGCAGGAAGGACCAGGGGGGAGCCAGTGTGGGGCTAGACCCAGAACACAGCATTAGCGGATGAGGGGAGGATGGTCCAGGGATGGGGTCCAGGGGGCTAGGAGCATCAGGGATGTTTCCCTGCTCTGCAACCTTGGGCAAGTTCCTGTCCCTCTCTGGGCCTCAGCCTCCCCATCTGTAGGGAAGGGGCTTGGGGCTCCCTGGTTGGGAAGTCCTGACTCTGGGACAAACACCAGTGCTGGGCCTGGCGGTGCACACACTCTCACTCCTACCCCAGGAAAGGTAGGCCCTGTCCTCCCACCGGCTCCCTCCAGAGCCCCAAAGTCCAGGGCTCCCAGCCCTGAGGAGCTAATTGCCCTTTTCCAATCTTCCCTCTAAGTCAGGGTCCACCCACTGAACCAGCCTGGGGGCATCACCACCTCTAGAGGAGTGAGTTGAGTCAAGGGGTATTTATTTGCTTTTGAGAAGCTGTTGTGTGGCTTAACCTAATGGTGGCATGTCTGGCACCAAAATGGGAAGAAGATGACTTCCTGATGGCCTTTTGACACTTTACAGAGGCAGCCTCTGTCTCCAAGGCCCTGAGAAAAAGAGCTTTATCTGGAGCCCAGACTTCCTCCCTGGACAACGTGCGCAGGTCTTGCTACATAATTTGTGGGGTTCAGTGCAAAATGAAAATGAGAGGCCCTTGTTCAAAAAGTATTAAGAATTTCAAGATGGCGACAGCAGAGCGTTAAACCAGGCGTGGGGCCCCTCTGCGTGCAGGGGCCTGTTTGATGGCACTGGTCACAGACCAGTTAAGTCGCATGAATACAGGCATGTGTGCACACACTCTCTTCTCACCTACTCTCCACTGGGCCTGCCCAGAGGCTGCCCAGGGGGCACAGCCACGGGCTATTAGAAGAATTCTGGCTCTGCTCAGTTCTGCTCCGTGGTGGAAGCCCCTGTGTAGGGGGGTGGCCTGCTAAATACTGAAGTGGCACTGGGGTGGGCTGGGAGGAGCTGGGCTGGGCAGAGCCCTGGATGGCCAGTGGCCTGTGCCTTTCTACTTTGTTCTCACCAGGGAGTCACGGAGGGAATGGTTCGCCTCTTGGTTTGGGGTGAAGGTGGGTGACCCGAGCAGTGCTAGCCGGCCTGCCTTGCAGTGGGAAGATCCGGATTATCCTCCAGAGCAGCTTTCTGGCTCTTGCCTGAGCTGGTGCCCAAGAAGGAAGGGAAGCCTCCTTCCCAGCGGAGTTTTGCGCCAGACATAACTGATGTGAAGTAGCTGGTGCTCAAACACAAGTGCCTGTAGCTGGAGGTTCACAGCCAGGCCTGGGGCTGCCGTCACCGGGCCCTACCCCCACACTCTGTGGCTGCCCAGGTAAGGTGAGGTCCACTGGAGTTAGGGAACAGCTGGACAGGTGTGGCTGCAGGAGGAAGGCCTGCAGTGCCGGAACAGGAGCAGCCTGCAGGCTCTGAGGCTCAGGGTCCTGCCCAGGGACCCTCCTTCTTGGGATATAGGATAAGCTTGGGGTTGAGCTCTGAGCCTGAGTTGGGAGTGGGAGGAGCTGAAATCCATCTTCCTCTGGCCAGACCCTGGAAGGGTTGACAAACCTGGGGGCAGTGCCCAGGGTGAACAGGCTGGCAGTGTGCCTGTGCACACCAGCAGTGTGCTCGGTGTGTGGGTGTCAGGACAGGTGACAGGCACCACGGAAAGAAGAGTGTGAGCACCCTGCACGCCAGGAGGTGGGGGTGGGGAAGCGCTGCAGTCCCGGCGCTGGTGCGAGTGAGCTCGTGATCACGTGGGGGCGTGGGCTGTGCAGAGCTGCCCAGTCCGCCTTCTCAACAGGGCACTCCAAGGGTCAACCGGCTTTGGAGTCACTCTGCTTGGGGTCAGACTCAGGCCAAGCCTCAGCCTAGGGGTCCATCTATGGGGCAGGGCAGAGTATGGGGTGAGAGTGTAAAGGCGTCCTTCCCCGGCACCTTCCCGTCACCCGCACTTTGGCCCACTTCCACCAGTGTCTCCGGCTGAGAGTGTCCCCAGGGTCAGGGCTGGCACAGGCCGGGTCTGCTCACTGACCTCCCCGCTCCTGTCCTAGCTGGGTTCCCCCAGTGCAGAGCTGCCTGTCAGGCCAGCTCACACCCGCGCCCCCACACAGTGTGGTCCCTGGCCCTGCCCAGTCCTGCTTTCTGATGCCCTGGGCTGGCTGGCAGGGCCCCTGTCCTAAGCCAGGCCTGGCAGCTCCGCGGTCTGGCAAGGCACAGCAGACTGATGGCTTGCCTCCTGGACACATAGGCAGGCTCTGTTTCCCAGCCCCCACAGCTCCGCATGACCACGTGGCCGGGGCTGGGTGCCGGCCATCGGAAAGTGCACGGAAAGGAGGCGCACCCCCAGGCCTGGTCACAGGGACCTCCTGGGTGACCTTCCACTTGCACTTATCCCTGTCTGGTCTGCTGACTGGATGCTGATGCCCTGGGGGACCTGGGTCTCCGGGCACTTCCCCCGCCCCGCCCCCCCCTCCTCCTCCTGAGGTGAGACCTGAGCAAGAAAAAACACTCCTATGGATCTCAGGGTTTATCTGTTGCAGCAGGTGGTGTCACCTCAACTAATCCGGTGCTTTGATTCAAGTCGCTTGAGGTCCAGGGCCCTGCTGAGGCAGCTCCCTCCCCAGTTGCCCTCCAGGATGCTGCCGAAGGCAGAAGGGCGGCGGAGGCTGAGGAGACCCCTGCCCCAGGCCTGTGCCCCTGCCTCACTGCCAAGAATTCTGCAGGGAAAGCCCTGCTGGGGCTGGGGCCTTAGACCACATCTTCCTCCGGCCAGTCCTCGGGATGGGGTCAGTATCTGTGCCCCAGCCTTAGGCCTGGGGTCCTGTCCTCCATCCTGGGTCACTTGAGGGTTGGCAGTGGGACCACAGGTGCCCACTCATGGCGCCACCACCCTTTACCTAGGGGTGTTCTCTGGGGGGTTGGGAAGCAGGCCAGCTGCCACTTGGTCCTGGTGCCACAGCTGCTCGGCGAGGCCGTTGAGCACATGGGCAATGTCGACCAGCCCAGCCCGCCCATCCAGCGTGCGCCCATCGGCCAGCCGCCGCCCCGGCACACTCTTCACCCGCAGCAGGGGCAGCTCCCAGGCCTGCCGGAAGGCTGTGAGGTCACGCTCCGGCACATCCGTGTGCATGTACTGGTCAAATCTAGAGGAGGGTCAAGGAGCCTGGCTGGGCGCCTCTGCTCACCGTCACACCAGACCCAGCCTTCCCCTGCCCCGCAGCCCCACACCCAGGGTCTGGGACAGCCATGCTGTGCCCTTTATGCAAAAGCCCGTGGGCTGTACTCCACGGCTAGGCAGAGGCTGGGTCAAGGACCCTTGACCTCCTTGTCCTGTGCCTTGCCAAGGGTGGCTTCTGACAGTCTCAGAGGCCACCCAAAGGATACTTGGAGCCGATGACCATCTTGACAACGCCCGGGGCCTCGCCTGCGACTCGGGTCAGCTGCCCAGGGAGGTCTTCGAAGGAGGCGCGGTCCGTGAAGGAGAAGAGGAAGAGGAAGGCATCTGTGTTCTCCTTGCAGGCCTGGGATGCAGGGGCACGTAACCATGTAACCACAGGCCCAGAATCCTGGGAAGAGTCAGTAACAATCCCACCTTTCACAGATTGGGAAACTGAGGCCCAGAGCAGGGAGTGGTGGGTCCTAGGGCAGAGTATGGGTTGGGACTCAGTCTCTAGTGCCAGCTCAGAGCTCCACCACCCAAGGCAGTACCCTCGGCTCACTAACACCCAACTCGACCCCTGCACACAAGGCGGGCCCAACTCAGACATCTGTGCTCAGATGCTGACCTCAGCCAAGCAGTCCCTCCTGGAGCCCACCCCGGCCCGCCTGCTCACCGGGAGCATGTGATCGAACTTTTTGAGTGCAGACTCCCCACAGTCCCAGAACTCAAAGCGGAACATGATGACACAGTTGCTGGCCTGCAGCTTGGCCGGCCAAAATACCACGGTCGTCTGGATGCCTATGGAGAGCCAGGGCAGCCGCTCAGCATGGGAGAGGGGGATGTGGAGAAGGGTGGGGGCCAGGAAGGAAGAGGAAGGAGGGGTACATCCCTGCGCTGCTGGGTTCCCAGTCTGATGGGGAAGGCACAGTCCCCGACCTGGGAATTCGCAGTCTGATGGGGGAAACAGGGACTTGGCCTGGAGGAGCCTTGGAATAGCAGGAGGACAGAGCCCTGCCCATGACCAATGACCAAGCAGTTGCTGTATGCACAGGGAGACAAAGGTCCTGGGACGCTGGGGGATGGTGCAACAGGATGGATCTATGAGCATCCGGTGGAAAGAAACAAGAAAGGAAGATTAGCACTTCCTGAGCACCTACCTTGTGCCAGCTCGATAGTGGGCAGGTGAACACCACTATCGCTAGTACCAACCCCACAACAGCTTCGTGGGGTTGGTACTATTATCCTCTCGGGACAGAGGAGCCCACGTAGGCTCAGAAAGGTGAAGTGACTTGGTTGCAGAGTAAGCGGTGGACCTGGGTGTCAACCTTGCTTGTATGGTCCAGGGCCAGGCTCTTACCTCCACCCCAGGGCAGGCCTCACAGGATGGGCAAAGGGTTGGGGCCTCACTCACCTGTGGTCTCGTGATGCACCACGGGCACCTCCAGGCCAGCCAGCTTGGCCACCATTGCCGTCTTGCCCACACCACTCTTCCCAGACACAAAGATCTTGTAGCTGGCAGTGTCAATGGCAACAGGCGGGGGCAGCACTGGCCGCTCAAGCAGCCCTGGGGCAAAGAGGGAGCCAGGTGGGGTCAAGGGATGCTGTGGCTTGAAAGTGTCCCTCAAAGTTAATGTGTTGGAAACTCAATCACCAGTGCAACAATACTGGAAAGTGATTAGGTCATGGGGATTCTGCCCTCACAAATGGATTAATGTCATTATCTTGGGAGTGAGTTATCTCGAGAGTGAGTTTATTATAGAAGCAAGTTCAGCCCCCTCTTGCTTTCTTACTCTCACTCTCTTTCACTCTTCCACCCTCTGCCATGGGATGATGCGGCAGGAAGGCCCTCACCAGATGCTGGTGCCATGCTCTTGGATTTCCCAGCCTCCAGAACCACAAGCTAAATACATTTCTGTGCATTACAAATTGCCCAGTCTGTGGTATTCTGTTAAAGCAGCATAAAACGGATTACAACAGGTGATCAATCCCATACTTGCCCCATCACATCCTAGGCTGGACAACCTCATTTATAAGGGCTTCTTCAGGGCTAACTAACCACCCCTGGTTCTCAATACTCATCCTCATTTCAGAGGCCTGAGACACAGAGACTGGCCTAAGTTCTGACAGTGAGTCTGCTGACATTTATTTATCAGCTGTTCTCAACCTTGATTGGGGGGCCTGGGTGACACCCATTGGAAGATACACTGAGGTGGGCATGCCCAGCTGTTAACAAAACCCCCTGAATATCTGCTGGTAAGTAAAACACTACAAAAATTCAACACCACCACTACCATTCCTCTAAGTTATGGCTGCTTGGTACTTGATACTGGCTGTGGCGTAAATAACATGGTCAGTGGGCTCTATGTGATGCCCAGAAAATCACTCTACCTTCACGCCACTCTCTCACTCAACACAACTAAAACATAATAAATATAGTAACAGCCAACCTGAGTTAGCACCCACTGCATGCCAGGCACTGCTCAGTGTGTTACATTAATATCCCCAGCAACTCTATGGGGTAAATACTATGATTATACCCATTGTACAGAGGTGGAAGCTGAGGCGAGACTCCACTCATTCATGGCCATGCAGCTGTGCTGGAGCCTGGGTCAAGCCTGGCTATGTGTGACTGCAAATCCAGTGTTCCCAGCCACCATGGGATGTAGAGGGATAATGGCCATATTAGGGGGTCATATTTTGAATCTTTTCTAATTTCTAAAAAAAAAAAAAAGAATCTAATTATTCACAAACGTTGGTCCTTTAGCTGTCTCGTTCTCTGGCCTTAAGCCTTCTGGCATTTTGCTTCTCCTGGCCCAAGCTGGTCTCACGGCTGATGCCAGCCCTCTGCTGTCAGCCGGGCCCTGCCTGGGTGAGTTGGCTTCCTTCTGGAGAACGCCAGAGTCTTATCCAGAGACAGCAGGACACGGAAGAGGCTCACCTCTGTTTACTAGCCTGTGATCTTGGCTAAGAATGTAAAACATGCTGTTGAGAGGTTAAATGTGAGTCCATTGTGTAAAGTGCCCAGCAGAGGGCCTGGCACCAGGTGAGGGCTCAATGAACAGCATCTCTGGTGACAGTGGCTGCTGGCAGGGTTTCGGCTGTTTCCATGTTCCTGGCTCTGATGATGGAATTAGCTCTAAGGAGATTTGGGGGTGGGGGCCCCAGGGATAGGGCTTCCAGGAGTCCCCAAGGCTGAAGAGTGCAGTGGAGCTGGCCCTTGCCGCCCAGCTCCTCTGCTCCCCCAGGCAGCAAGAGGCGACACTGTTCTCCCCAGGGAGCCAGACAAGTGACGGTCTGGGGGAGGGGCACTTACCAAACACCCGCCGGCGGTTCTTGCGCAGGATGCAGGCCAGGTACTCCTTGCCCTCGGCACTCTCATGCCAGTCTGGGACAATCACTGAACCGGGCGCAGGAGGTCTGGCCATGGCTGAGCACCCCGGTAGGGAGGTGGCAGAATGCTGACAGCGGGGAGTGGAAAGAAGGGTAACTGTCCCAAGCCGGGCCTGTGATCCCTCTTAACCCCCCGACTGTCCCGTGGAGCCCCGGCTCCCCCACGCAGAAGGTAATGCCCCCTCTCCCGTGTAGCTCCTCGGGACAGTCGTCCCGCTATTGCCCTGCGAGGGTATTTCCACAGCCCCTCTCCCCCCGGTCACCTCCGGGGGCTCACACAGCCCTGTTCCTCCTCTGCCTCCTCGATCCCGACTCCCGAGGCCACCCCGCCGTCACCGCCAGCAGCCCCGCGGCGAGCCAGCCGGGTGGAGAAAGTCTCTTTAAAAGTCCGCCCCGCGCCCCGCCGCCCAGCCCGCCGGCTGCTTCCGCCCGGCCTGCGTCCGGCTTCGGCGCGCGCGCGGAGGCGCATGTGCAGGGGCTGTTGCCATGGACACGCCGGGGGCGGGGTTGGGCTGCGGGCTTCGAGCGGTGTTCGACCCTCCTGCGGCGCCTGCTGCTGGCGCTGTGCGGTGGCGCGGGCAAAGGGCCTTCCCGGATGGGCCGCGCGCCCTCTTCACCAGCGCGTCCCAGCCCCAGTCCTTCCTCCAAAACTTGAGCAGATTCCCCCCTCTCCTGGAGGCTTCCACGCCTCTGGGTCTCAGTTTCCTCTTTTATAAAGTGGACGTGAAATGCTCTCCCTCCTAGGGTTCTTTACAACACTGCTTGGTCCGCGGCAGTGCTCAGTAAGTTTCCTGATCCTTGTTGCTATTACTAATATTATTGCTTTATTAATCCTGCTTGGCAGGACCTCCAGGCGACTTTAACACCTCTGGCCTCACGGGTGGGGAAACAACAGCTCAGAGAGGCCAAGGGACTTGTTTAAGGTCTTAAAAATGAGTTGGAGGCTCTCTGGATTGTACCTTCCATTCATTCATTCATGCATTCGTTTGTTCATTCAACAAGTAATTACTGAGCACCTACCATGTGCCAAGCCTGTCTGGGTGCTGGACTACCACCGTGAACGACAAGTCCCTGCCCTCTGGGAGCTGGCTCCCCAGCGCTGAGACTGTGGGCTCCCCGCTCTGTTGCAGCACTGGGCGCTGGGGCTGTTGCCCAGAAGACTGGGTGCTCGGTAAATGCCAGTTAGTGGGTCATTACTGAGAGCTCGTCTATTACATTTAATTTTTACCATTATCTTCTTGCATAGCCTTCACGTAAGGCAAATCACGAATTTGTAAGGAATAATCTATGAGTTAACCTTTATTGAAGGCCACCTCAGTGCCAGACAGCGGGGGCTTAATAGAGGTTACCTCGCTTAATTCTATAAACAAACCTGTGTAAACAGTATTATTCCTCTTTTCTTTTAGATGAAAACACTCAGAGACATGACATGACTTGCCTGAGGTCACACCACACCGCTTGTCAGTGGGATCATTAGACTCAGAACCCAGGGTTACCTGACTCTAAAGTACATTGGGTTTTGTGTTTTTAAAACTTTGCCCCCAGCCACTAAGAGGGCTGTTCCTCCGTGAAGCCGAAAGCAGCCAGAGGGCCACAAACCCACAGATTTTTGAGGCCCATTATGTTTAAGGGGCTAGGGAGGGGACAAGAATGTGTAAGACAGGGTCCTTCCCTCAATTGCTTACACTGCCGCTAGGCAGAAATGCAAGATGAAAAACCATTCCTACAGGACTGTGCAGCTCCAATCCCTTGCCCATACCCCCAGGTCATATGGTTCCCTTTCCTGCAGCTCTTACCACACCTGCCCACAGTCAGGGTTATTCGCAGCTGTGCACAGCTCTCTCCACAAGACCAGGAGTGCCTCAGTGGCAGGGCTTGGGTCTGAATTATCTCTGGGTTTCCAGACTTCACATCCAGCCCTGCCCTGGGTTGGCGTATGGAAGGCTCAGTGAGGGTGTGAGAAAATGGAGCAACTTGGGAGAATGAGCTTGCCAGTCAACCTGGAAGCCGGATAAGATGTGGAGTCCTCTTGAGCACAGAGAGGGAGGTGGTCAGAGGAGTTGGTGGCCAGAGGGTTAGGGGATTCAGTCTTTACTGCCCTCAGTAAGCTGAGGAGAGGACACCTGACAGTATCAGCCTCCAACTCCCAGATTCCGCAGGGGCGGGGTGGGGTCTGTGAGCCTGCACATTCAGCAAGAGCACTGCAGCTGGGGTCTGTATGAGTCCGCCCAGGCTGCCATAATGGACTACCGTAGAGTGGGCACTCTAAACAACAGAAATTTATTTTTTCACAGTTCTAGACGTTGGAAGTCCAAGATCAAGGTGCCAACAGAGTTGGTTTCTGGTGAGGCCTCTCCTCATGGCTCGCGGATGGCCACCTTCTCAGTGTGTCCTCACATGGCCTCTTTCTGTGCTTGCACGCTCTTGGTGTCACTTTCTCTTCTTATATGGACACCAGTCCTATTGAATTAGGGACCCACCCTTATAACCTCATTTAACCTTAATTAGTTCCTAAAAGGACCTATCTCCAAACATAGTCACCTTGGGGTTCGGGCTTCAACGTATGGATGCGGGGGACGCACAATTGGTCCATAGACCTCACTTAGAGAAACACTGCTGCTGGGGACAGGAAGCCAGCCAATTATAGGGGCCTGGGAATGACATGGTCAGAACTGTGTTTCAGAAGGATGCTGTGGACCATCTTTGTCTAGTGAGTTCTACTGTCCTATGCCCCTCTGACTACTAAAATGTGTCCCCCTAAGCAATTCGCTTCTCCTTGTAGGGCCTCAAGCAAAGCATGGAGACTGTCTCCCTATGGGCCCTTCTAGTGTAGAGCCCTCCGATTAATCCACTCATTTCTTCTTGGTTTGGTCTCCCCACAAATATTTATTGAGCACTTCTTGGCCAAGGTCCCCACAAGGACTTGGGAGGAGGACTCCTCAAGGCAGGGACATAGTCAACAACCTGAAGGAGTGGATGGGAGGCCCAGGAGGGTGTGTGCATGTGCACACACACACACACACACACACACACACACACACACACAAGCCTGAGCTGGATGAGAGCTCTGCCTGAGGATCCTAGTGGGAGAGGCGGGGATAGGACACCAGGCTTAAAACCCTCTCGTGGCTTCTCACTGCATCTAGAATATAGTCCCCCTCTTCCCCCACCATGGCCTGGCATGGGGAGTGCTCATGAATATCTGCCAAATGCATGTCCTCATCTACTCCAGCCTGGAATGCACCTCTGCCTCCCAGCTGGTCCCTCTACCAGGCTCACCCCCTTCCAGCCATTCTGCAAGCTGGAGCCACAGCCAATTAGTCAAGTCAGCTCAAGGGCATTGGCCTTGTTGCCAAGCTCAGTGGCCAACTCGCAGTCCTGAGGTCACCTGACACGGGGATGGCTCCCAGGTGACGGGACAGATGGAAGTGTAGCTAAGTGGCAGGAAAAGCAGGAGGAAGAGCAGGTCGGAAGGTCAGAGGAGGAGCTGGGGGAGTGAGGGCTGCGTGGGAGCTGCCTGGAGAGGACACACAGCAGATGTTGGTGTGAAAACACAGGTGAATGTAATTAAAACAAAGTATCGTGAAAAGAAAAACATAAAGTTAAAAAAAAAAAAAAAGTAAAGCACAGGTGAGCGGCCTGAGCAGAATTGAACACTATCAGCAGCGGGCAGTGGAAGGGGATAGATGAGACCCCAGATGTAGGGGGACACACAGCAGAGGCTGGGATGCCACCTGGGCAATGACAGCCACTAGCTTGGGCCTAGGAGGGGCAGAGGAACCTGAAACCCCCTCCTCCAGCCCTGGGGCTCCTGTTCAGTGTTGGGGGAGGCTTACCCAAATGCCAGGGAAGCATAGCTGGGGAGAGGGCACCCACGCCTCGGACTCTGTCTTTCCTGGAGCCTTCTGCTCCAGAGAGGCCTCTGCTCTGGAACTCCGTCCGCCATGGCCCCATCCGTGTCGTCTCTGTGAGTGTTCTCTCCTCTACCGTGTATTCTAGTCAGGAGCTTCTTTCCCGGCTACAGCCAAGAGGATGACCTCATCGGGTCCACACAGGTCACTGTACATTGTCCTCAGCCTGCCACTGGCTGCTGAGACCCGTAGACTTATCAACACCCTGCATTAGTGACTGCCAGAGGCCAGGCCTGGATCCCACCCATCGGGGACCCCCAGAAAGGCTCTCTCATCTGCCTCCACTATAGTTTAGCAGGGTGAGGCCAGGGGCTATCGTCTGAATGTCCCCCAAAATTCATGTGTTGAAATTTTCTTTTTGTTTTTTAGAGATGGGGTTTTGTTATGTTGCCCAGGCTGGACTTGAACTCGCTGGGCTAAAGGGAACTTCCCACCTTAGCCTCCCAAGTTGCTGGGACTGCAGGCACATGTCACTGTGCCCAGCCATGTGTTGAAATTTAATCACCAATGTGATCTTATTAAGAGGTGGGGCCTTCAGGAGGTAAGTCACGAGGGCAGAGCCCTCATGAATGGGATTAGCATCCTTACAGAAAGGCTCGAGGGGGCACGTTTGCCCCTTCTGCCACGTGAGGACACAGAGTTCATGATGGAGCAGCAACAAGACACCACCTTGAAGTGGAGACCGAGCCCTTACGAAACACCAGACCTGCTGGTACCTTGCCCTTGGACTTCCCAACCTCCAGAACTGTGCGAAATAAATTTCTGTTGGTTATAAATTACCTAGTCTGGAGGGAGGGTTGGCCTCTTGAGAGCTGAGGGAGACCGCAGGGCTGTCCACGAGGATGAGGGCAGGGGACTGGGCTAAAAAAAAAAATAAATAAATAAATAAATAACCCAGTCTGTGGCATATAGCAGCACAAATGGACTAAGACACCAAAGCAAGGAGAGGACTAACTTCCTAGCTCTCTGGCTTCCGAACAACTGTTCTGCCCCTGGCTGGCTGTTGGCTGCAGACGGTTCTACTTCAACCTTTCGTATCTTTTTAGTATGATACCTGAATTGCCTTTTGACCGTAGAAGCTCAGGATTTGTCATCTTTGTTTGGCCAATGTGACACCTCCCTGGTTTGTGATTAGATTGTGAGCTCCTCCAGGGACGGGCTTCTTTGGAGTCATCTGTGTGTCCCAGGGTTGCAGGGTCAGTAGATGCTCAGGGAATGTTTGCTGAGAATGGTCCCCAGGTCAGTTCCAGGCTTTCTTGGCCTTGCCAATGGGTCACGGCCCATGTCCCAGGGCAGGAGCTGACTGCCTCCTCCCAGGCTGTTGCTGGAAAGGCATCCCTCCTTCTCTTCCCTGCAGTGGGTGAGCAGACAGGCTCCCTGGTGGGGGTACAACACACTCTGCAAGGACTTTCAGGCATTTAAGATGTTAGCTTGGCTTTGTGCATGCTGACAAGGCCTGGGCCCAGAGCCTGGCTCCATGGGGAAGACG